GCACTTGTTACTAGTAGCGATGCACTTGTTTCTAATAGCTTCTTGTTCCTAACCCCAAAAGCGCCACTTCCTTCCACCTTCCGCTCTTGCACCCCCCCCTCGCGGTCGGTCCAAGAACTCCGTCCTCGCGGAGCTGGGCGCCCCAGGCTTCGGGCCAAGGACCTGTCCTGAGAGCGACAGGGAGGGCACGTCCGTGCGGAGAAGGACGGTGACTGGGACTGGGATAGATCTTGGTCGTATGATGTCGTATAAATGGCTCAGCAATCCACTGAAGCTGGGTGGGCACTTTGAGTCTTTGTGGCAATTGGACTACAGATCACTAGGTCTTCAATGCCAATGGACCATGACTTTCCTCATTGATCCACCAACAAGAGCGAGTAAACACCTCCAGCTGTACACCCCAAGAATCACCTCCAAGAATCAGCTCCAACTGTTCCCCAAACCGCCACCGCGCCAGCCGCCGCCACGCGGGGCTCCGCGCCAGCTGCGCGCGCCAGGTGCCGCTGCACAAGCTCCAGCGGAGCAGCTGCGGCGCGTGGAGGTGATCGCTCAAGCGTTGCTCGGGGGCGGTGGTCGCCTCCAGCAGCTCCAAGATGTCTTCGCCACTCGGACTCACAGGTTGTTTTGTGGACATGGCGCAAAGTTCATGCGGTCAAAGGGCTGTTTGAATCGCATTCTTTTGGGGGGAAAGATTTGAGAATTGTTCGGTATGGACTCATGTAATTATGTTGGGTATGTTGAGCCTCTGAATCTTCTGAAGTCTAGTCTACAAGCTCAAAGAAACTTTGACGCAGTTTGGATCTTTTCCAAGCGGGCAGTTTTGACAGCGCACGGACATTTGAACTTTGAACTTTGTTCAGGGATGTTCAGGGCTTATTTAACGATTGGTTCCCATGAAGCGGCTGTGCCGGGCTGTGACTCCTTCTGGAGTCACTTGCAGATCTTTTCTCCTCAAAACGTGCTTCGATCATGACACCTAGGAAGGCTTGGAACATGTTCGGCCTTTCCGAAAGGACGCGATGTGGGGCACGGCGCCATGGGAGCGAATGTTCCTTTTCAAAACAAGTGCCACGCTACTAGGAACAGGTGCCTTACTAGTAGTAACAAGAAGCTACTAGAAACAAGTGCCTCGCTAGTAGTAACAAGTGCCTCGCTAGTAGTAACAAGTGCCTTACTAGTAGTAATAACCTGTTTGGTGTTGGGTGATGTGATTTGGTCCGATGTCCTCCGCGAACATACGGCCGTCGGTGAGCGTCCCCTCTGCCGCTCCGCAACCTTTAGGCGCTCTGTCGACATTGGGGTCATGGCTCCAAAAAAAGACATGCTAAAATACCTTCGCTTTCGGAACTAACGATGTTTAAATCTGGACCTTTTCAAGGATCTGGGTCGCTCGGAAAGAAGAACGTGTGTTGGATGTTTGATTTGGAATCTTTGTCGAACAGCCCAGATGTTGGCAGCCACGTGCCTTGGCGTGGAGACGTGTGCTGCTTTAGGCTTTGGCCCTGTGACGATTGGGACATTGGCCGAGTGTCTGGTTCCCACATCCGAACACACGGCCAAAGTCATTATGTGGCACGTTTCGGCGCGTTGCTGTGCCCAAAGACAGTCCAACCGGTGCCTATAAGGACTTATTTGCCAAACAAACTGTTCCAAGTTTTTCTGCATGCTCCTTTGTTCGTTCAGGTCGAAGCCTACGCGACTCGGTTGGGGGGCGTGCGTCTACGTGCCGACTTCGTTCCAAAGCCCCGAGCAGTGGAGTTCTCTCTCCGGGACTGTCGGGACGTTGACCATGGAATCATATCTTGGCTTTGACCAACAAGGCACGGCTCTCCTGGATGAATTTGAATTGGCGGCCCCATCTTGGGCTTTTAGTCATTGTCATTGGAAGACTCTTTTTGGTGGGATTTTCTCAATGACTCAACTCACAATGTTTTTTGACAAGGCTCAATGTTCTTTTGGCTTTGGAAGGACATGTTCACGTGGGACTGGAGGGGCAACATTGCTTTTTCTTGAGTTTAAAGTTGGGTCGTATTCTAACTGGGCAATTGAGGGCAGTCCCAATGAACAAATTCGCATGACATGAAAAAAAATAGAATCTGGCGCTCCTGCATTTTGGATTACATTCCAATATCCTACACCTGGGTCGATTGTCTACATTTGCAGTGGCCCACCTACAGGGCTCCATGATTGCCGAATAGGTTGATTGAGATGGCTGCGTCCGCACAAAGTTCGTGAAAAGGACTCACGACAACGTTCATGGTCACCGTTGAAAGGAGCCTCACTTCATTCGGCCTGGGCAGTAATAGGGTGAGAATGCAGCCTGACACGTCCCGGCCCATTTGCACGACGACACTGCACTTGGAACAGGCGCGGCGCCTTTGGGACCCTTACAAATCAAGTAGACTCCCTGAAACAATCATGGAAGTGGAGGGCGTGGCCCCTTTGGAAGACGATTTTTATCTACCAAGAGGGGCCACAGTCCACGTAACCATGATTGTTGCAGGGAGGGTAAATCAAGTCGTTGGCAGCACGTGGACGTCAACAAAAAGCCATCTTCGCCTTTTTCAGCCACGAGCACATGAAACAGGCTCTTCACCTCACCCACCTCGGCTCTGGCATCGCAAAGGTTCCTGGCCAAGGCAGATTGACGCCCTTGAGGGGCTGCCACTTGAAGGGTGGCCGAGAACAACACACAACTCCATTCTTTGGGGCATTTCGGGGCTTGGAACTGAAATGGCGACAAGTCTCGTCGGCCGAGTCCGTCGTCCGCACGGGGTCGTGGTCACGGCTTCGTTACGACTTCGTGCAAGAGTCTACATTACAAGTAGTTACATTAGTAGGTCCCTTTGTGTATTCAATTGCCTCCAGCTAGCGTGGCGCCCTATACACGTGGCTGAGTAGAATCAATGGTCGGCTACCAATGGTATCAGCGCTTCGTTGAAGAAAAAACCTGTGTCATTCGGCGACAAACAAGCTCTCTGCTGGCAGGTTTTCCACCCTTGTGTGTTGGCTGAGAGGTCATGTCTAGAGGTCACAAACAGCCTGGCAAAGCGAACGAAATGAAATCAAAAGTTCGATTGGGCTTTTGTTGTGCACCCTGACCCTCCAGAATTGAAAGCGACCAAATGGAAAATAGTTGAATTGTTGGACTTTACCAACTTTCTAAACATTGGGGTTCTTCAATTGGGCCTACATCGCCTACATTTGGTTCTTTTTGGTGAATTGCGAATATTTTGGCAATAAAATTTGGGTCACATGGAGCATGTTGGGCTGGGAAGGAGGAATATAGAGACCAAAACCCATTGGTTGGCAAAACTTTGTGGGATTACTTTCATCGTGGACGCAGGTCAACATACATTCTTAACGCTGTGTGGAGGGCTGTGTGGAGGATCTCTGACTGAGTGACTCTGCTTGTCGCTTTTCGTGGGTGCAGGAACTCTTCAAGATTCTGTACAGTTCGGTGTGCATGAGTGCTGAGGATCAGTTTTCTTTGTGTCTACCTTACGCATTGCCGAGGGTAGCCATTGCATATGACACGTGCGAGAAACGACAAAGGCCAAAAAAGAACATTCGTTGGCTGTCCCCCCCCAAAAAGAATTACAGACCCCAAAGGGAGTACAACTTGAGGTCTCCATACTGGTACCAGCATGGAGACCTCAGCTGTCTCTCCCCATATGGAGCTACCGAGCTGCACCGAGCTGGGGCCGAGCTCGGCCTGAGCTCACTGAGCTGCTGCTGGATCTCCCAGCCGCACTCCGCCAGCCGTGCTCGGTGCCACTCCAGCGGCGGCAAGCGGCTGGGCCTGGGGCGGAGGGAGTGAAGGGCCAGGGACTGGATGTTGAGGGAAGAGACTCAAAGAAGACGGAACAAACCAAAACCAATTCACAACAAACAACAACCCATTCACAACAAGCTCACATCTGACCACTCTTCGAGAACTCAACAATCAAATGAACACAAAGCAATACGTACGCCCAACAGTGACCTCTGAATCAAAGACTCCCAGTAGATGGAAAAGAATCCTTGAATCCCATGACTTTCGTGATGCCCTCATCTTGAAGCCATTCAACCTGGCTTCCAACTCCAGCCTGGCTGTCCAACAAAAACACCAAAAGACGTTGGGCCCCCATGCTTCCAGGCCATGCGCACCGGCCTTTGCTCATGCTCCTCACAAGATCCAACAACCAACGCCGCCCGATCCGCGTCTTGCTTCGTTCGTCTCGGAATGATCATGCGGCCCAGAACGAATGGCCTGGAAGAGTTCGGGGGGGCCGACCGGGCAAATCCCAGGCCAATCCCTCAACAGGTGGGTGGTGGTGAACTCCATGTCTTCCTTCGTGCTGACTCAATGGATGCCCCCCTGGGTGTTGTGCAGGGCTTCTTCCGGTGAAGCCATGTGAGGGGAAAGGGACTCTGCTGTCCTTGGCCAAAAACTCCAACCAGTAGGGATCAAGCACTGCCAGGATTAAGAGCCTCAATCAAGGAGCTGGCAAGAATCACAAAGTAAGTCAGTCATCAAAAAGTAAAACTAAAAACATCATGCTCCATCTTTCTCATACGAAAGACTGGAGATAAATCAACAATCCACTTGGACCCAGGAAACAAACCCCCCCAATTCACCTGCCAGGTCTCTGCGCAAACACAGGTCTCACACGTCTCTGGTGCCAGAACGTCTTAGCTCAGCCACTGTGGTCCAGCAGCATCCAACGCCTTCAGCAAAGCGCTGGTGAAGCTCGGCTCGTGGTACTCCAACAAACCCTGACAGCTGAGCCCAAAGGAGGACTCTCTCAGAGTCTCAACAGTTGTTTAGAGCCTCCACGACTCCTTGACATTCCAACGCAAGCAAACAAGGTGTATGTTCTTCGCCAGACATCAAAAAGCACAAGCTTCCAAGTGCCGCATTCGCAACCCCCCCAAAAAAGCATAATAACCTGATGATCGATCTACAACCACCCGCAATCTGCTCCCTCGTTTGTCTTTGTCTTCTTCAACCCAAACGACTGGACGGTTGACCGGAAAGAACCAACGACTGACTCCCCACGTCGTCGGTCGCACCTCGCAAAGCCAGGCCGTCCGGCGGCGCGGATCGAATCCCACATCCACCTGGACGGCGGTGTAGCTCGCGGCGGACGGATTGACCAGGTTTATGGGACTGGATGGCGTTTTTGGGAGGGACCAAGTCGTCGTTGCATCGAATTCAAGATGGAAAGTCTGCGGTCACATCGGACCATATAGGTCACAGCAAACTGACTTCAGACTTCCTTCAAACTCCCAAAAAGCGTCTCACAAACGTCGACACGAGACCACCTTTGGAGCCCCTCTTTCATCGTTGTTCGTTGTTTCGCACCCCAAAAAACGGGTTCCAAAAACATGACGCAAACGACACAAGAAGCTACCCCGTCCACCAGCCGACAAAAAAGGCACAACGCGATGCCGCGTTCTAAAGAAGGAACGCATGGATCGGTACACAAGCTGACGCAAACCGCGCAGCAGAAAAAAGTAAAGACAGAAGCTGAAGCTGGCGCACCAGAGCAGGCACCAAAAGCTCCGGCTCTTTCAGATCGAATCCCACTTGCACGATACGTTGCTGCTGCACCCACCTGCGGGTAGACCGGTGGCCGCGTGGGGGCCTGGGGATCGTGGTGGTGGATGAGCTAACGCTCCTGAGTGCTGCTTGAGAAAGATCATGTTGGGTCCCGCTATCTTCCTACAGTCCTACAGAACTACTCCGGGTGGGGCTTAGCCAGTGTGGACAATTCAGTGGCGAGTCTGACTCAAACCCCTCAAACCTTGGAGCTGCAGCTTTGCAGCTTGATTCTGCAGCTCCTTCCATTGCTCCCAGCTGTTCCCCCCCTTTTTGCGTCGACGCACGGCACCGGTTCCGGTCTGGAAACGGACGATGCCACGACGGAGACACCGCGGGACCAGCGCTGGCGTCTCTGAGATGGACGCTCTTCACCACCACTGGGAGATCCTCTTTCCATCGGAAAGCTTCGTGCTGGGATCAGAACTGAACTCCAATCGATCCATTCATCACGAAGAAGGTGGACTGGTCTTTCCAGGAGCACTTCGTGGGACCGGACCTGCGACTGCTTCGTGGGACCGGATCAGAACTGAACTCCTTCTCCTGCTTTGCTCCCTTCAGGACCCCCCAAATAGGGTTGCGTGTAGATGGGCCCGGTGAACCACTCGTGCTCCACCGCGTTCTGGCCGAAGCGACCCAGCAGCTCACACAGCTTCGGAGAGAAGCTTTGGATGATTTGGGCTGGGATGGCGTAGTGAAAGTTGTGTTCCGATTTCAACCAGCCCAAATTGTAAATGAACAAAAGTCCATGCCTCGTGGAGGGCTCCTCATCATCATGCGCCTCTCTTGGCGCATGCGCACCAGCTCCATGTAGGGTATTACCACACCATAAGACCACCGAACCCTTTGGCATGGTCGCTGGAACCACTTCCTTCTCCAAGTCTTGAAGTCTCTCATCTTCCCCCTTCCCACCATACGTCTCTCCTGGCGCCGGCAGCTGATGATGTGAACCCACCAGGAACCGCGTGGCGCCGTTGCGCCGCGTGAAGTCGGAGACCGCCCACATCACCGAGACGGAGAGCTCCGGACGATGGGACGCGGAGGAAGGCAGAAATGGCCAGGAGGAGGCGCCCCACATGGTGTTGTCGCGATGTAAGACCTGTGGTGGAGCTGGTGGGTCCTCCGCCGTGGGTGGAGGTTGAACGGAGATCATGGAACAAGTTCCCAGGTTGATGCGCTTGCACCAGGGTCTCAAGATTCGCTCCACGGTGCCCAGAATCAAGGGATGCACCGCCAGCTCCTGTGCGACCTTGGATTCTCCCAGCGGTTTGGCGGCGTTCCGCAGGGTATGGTGCCCTCCAAAGGATCCGACCTTCCCATGGAAGACACCTCTGGCAGAGGAAAGTTCGTCTAGCAAGGCATCCGTTTTGTCGGATGGCACCACATCTTCCACCACCACGACTCCACTTTGCCGTAAAGCTTCTGCCAAATCTTCCACTCGGCCGTTGCTGTCAAAGCGCGGTATGTGATGAGTGCGAGAACGACGTCGTGAGTTTGAGCGCTTCAGCTGATGAAGAAGGAATGAGAGGCCCAAGCCAAGAGTTACAGAGATCAAAAGGCGGGAACGTTCATCCACCATGGCGGAACTTGGAGGTATGCAGCTTTGAAATTCAATCACTTCTCCATGCAGAACATGGAGTTGTTGCCTTTCTTTTCCGGGGTCGGTGATTGACCACTAGATCGAATTCTGCCCCCCTTGGTCTCAGCGAATAAATCGGAACAGTTCACAGTTGTTCCTTGGATGGCTTCGGATTCACAAGCAGAATGACATTGGAAGAAAGAACCAGCATTAGATGCATTAGGAGCTTCCAGCAATTGATTCATGAAGTTTTCTGATCCTTGAGTCTATTTGAGCTGCCACCGCTTGAGCTGCCACATCCCTTCAGAGTCAGAGTCAATTCACTGGAAATTTCACCAGCACTCAGCTTGCCTCTTTCGAAAATCGACCATGCGCTGAGTGTCGACCTGGCAGCGTAGAGGTCTTTCAAGGGGGTGACTAATTTGCGGGAGTCTCTACTTTCTGATTTAGTGCAAAGCTTTATGTCTCCTTCACCTATCCATGTCTGACATGTAGTCTCACACCTGAAATAGCAAGGAAGACACCCCCAAGACATGCCTGCTGCCTGCAAAAAAAATAAAAAAAACAAAAAAAACAACGCCAACCACGCCAAACTCAGCTTAGTGACAGGGTCTTCCACTTGTTTTGTTCATTATCTCCGTGAACCGCCGAGCCTCAAAGAAACGACAGCTGGACGTCGAGCCCAAGCGCAGCGCTCGGGTGTCGCAGCCAACGGCCAGCTGCACCACCTGGGGAGTTTTCAGGCGACCCCTTTGGGACAAATCATGGTTGGTGTGGTTGAATGGTGGTTGAATGGTGGTTGAAAGGTGGTTGAATGGTGGTTGAGGAGTCTGTGCGTTGGTGCTCTGCAATTGGTTTTTCTTCCAGGTACAGTAAAGTATCCACGTTTGGGTGACGTTCCGCGTCTCTTGGGATGTGGAGTAGATACGTGCTCCACGCAAGGAACCTTCTGCGCCCTTCCTCCGAAGGGCGGACCAACTCCAACGGGCTTAAACCCTCGCTGCACGCCCGGTTGAACAAGTGACATGACCAAGGGGGTTGAACGAGCAGGACATTCCAGGTGCAAACCACAGGAGGGACACCGATACAGCATAGCAGCGGACTCTGAGTGCACCCAGCTGTTCTCCAACTTGTTGAATCATGTTGAATCCAATTCCTTTCTGCTGTGTCCACCGGCCTGTTCGACTGGTTGGTGGCGTTGGCTGGCGATTAAGAGGTCATCCAGCAAACGGGTACGCAGCGCCAGCAGGTACTGGAGGCCTCAGTAGATCGAAAACAAGACCCCTGAAAGTGGGAAAACCCAAACTCTTGACCTCAACAGAACTGGAGAGTTTGTTGCTAATCAGGGGTCAAACTCTCGCCCAAAAGTGATGTCAAACACCTTGAGGGTCTTGCATCTCATTGCCAACCGCCAAACTACAAAATCGTTACTCCGAGAATCGAATGGTATATGAACATAACACAAGTTCTTGTTGCCTGGAAGTCATATCAAACACCTTGAGAGTTTTGCATGTGATTGTGTGAACCCAAAGGAACCCTTACTCCGAGGATCGTTTTACGTCGTCGCCAAGTCGCTGGAGGCGAACGTCGCGTTAGCGAGCTTGGACACGGCTTCAGTCCCAAGTGCTTCCTGCATACACCAGGCCCACGAGAGCTCGGGAAGGATCCAACGTGAACACCACGCTGACACCCCCTGGAATCAACATGGGAGTCACCGGTTTGGTATTTGGAAAAGGTGCATTCTCTGGGGTCATGCTACGTAACCATGATCATTGCCAGTGAGTGTAAAAAAGGCCTGTTGATCGAAAGTCAAAGCCCATAAATACCCACCTTGTTCCAATGGTCCACCCCGAAATAGAAAGGAATTAAACTACGAGGTGTTTCAGCTTGACCGATCACATCTACTGCGCCTGCGCAAGCTCTCCCGCAAACGGATCCAGAACCAAAGGAGAAGCTTCTGCAGACTCCTGGCGACTGAAAAAGGAAGCGACATGAACTCCAATGCAAAGCCGCCACTCGTCGAGCCAACACTGAAACCAAACAAGATCTCCATAAATGTCAACCTATATATATCAACTGAGGTTAATCATAGCGTTGACGGCAATGGCCAAGCGCCTACATGTTCATGCGAATCAATCTACTCAATTCTACTCAACTCTGCTTCCCTATCCTCATCCAATGACCCACAGCCACATCCCTTCCTGCCTTCCATCGCCAAACGGCACACAGGGCCGCTGAGCGCTCCACACCCCGCAGCGAAGTAACCCGACGCAGCTGATCCACGGACGTCGCCACGACCCGGCGCTGCTTCGGCAGCGCGGATCGCATGGGACAAGCCCGCCATGGGGCACCGGCCAAGAACACTCTCTCAAGAAAGAGTGAACGGCAAAAGAAGCGCAAGCAAAGCCTCTAGAAATATATGCCTCTCAGGTTGAAGGACTTAAAGCAAGATGGCATTAGTAAATTACTTGCAGGAAGCGATTCATTGCGACGCATCCCTGATGCGTGTGGATACTTGTGGAACCGAACAGGGCAATCAAAACCAAACGTTCGAGCCGCCATCTGACGTCAAGACTTGGACTTGGAAAAGGCAGGAGCCTGTCAAGGGTGGGTCCTGTTCACAGAACTTCTACGTCATTTCAATGGCACGCTCTTCCAAATCCTTTTCGCCTCCATTGGTTTCTTGATCTTCAGCGCCAAAGGACACCTGCCAAGACATCAAAAATGACAGTTGGAAGCCAAGGGGTCCTGATTGAGATTGATTCAGCAAACTGCCATCATCGCTGTTTTCCGCAAGTTCCCCCTTGTGGAGCTGTGTTTCAATGGTTTTGTAGAAATGTCGTTGACTCTTCACCCAACATGAGATTCCAAGGCGTTGTGGCAAAAAAGGAACTCACTGCTTGGCTCAGATCTCCGACTTTCGATGCGCCACTGAAGCCATGGACCATTTTCACACAAGGATAATGAAGATAAGTGGCCCAAATCATCAGAAAGTCGTGGCAAAGTCTTAACCTTTGGGACTTGGAAATTTCTGGACAGAGCTGAGCCCACTAAAGTTCAGGCCGGGCACCTCTGGCTCCTGTACAGCGGCGCACAAACCCGCCGCGGGAGGTATGCTGGATGGAGGATATCGTGGGTGGCCTGGGCACCAGTGCTACCTGGCAAAATTGCTTGGAAGAGGAACTATCTGCCATCTGAAAAAAGAAAAGCAACAATGACGAGTTCACTCACATAAGTCTGCACAGGTATAGCAACTGTCACACATTCATTGCCATTGCTTAGACTTCTTGGACCCTAGCCGGTCTGGCTGCTATCCAAAACCTATAAACGCTCTCCCAACAAAAAAGGGTTCTGATGTGTCATCGAATGATCATCATCAACTGTACACCATAAAACAGAAACTCCAGACCCACCCGAAACCTGAACCACCATCTGCCAAACGTCAAATTAGAAAGGCCTTGTCTGATTGATATCGGACAGGCGTCAGTGGCTCAGCAGACCTTGCGAAAGAGTTTCGCAGTGTTTAACTGTTGCGATGCGCTTGGCAAGGCAAGCTGCTTTTGTGAGGTTGGAAAAGGGCTTCGTAATACTCATGAGACGAACGGCTTTGGCAGTAGATAGCGTGCAGAGAACGATTTGCCTTGGTGTTGAAGTGGCACTGCGCACGGAGGTCGTAGAAGAAACCAATAGCTTTCGTCGTACAGCCCACATGCTCGCAGCTATTTTTTTGCTCACCATAACCGTGCGCGGCCCTTCAACAGTCTGCGACCCGGGCTGCGCCTGGACTTGAGAAGCTTCACGACTTGCTCAAGGCCTTCGAGCAGCTCTTCAGGCTCAATCTTTGTGGCCTTCAGCTGCTTCTCCGGCTGAACCTGCCAACATCATACAAACCAAGAAGAAACTTTGGGGAGGTGCTCCAAAAATTAATGCAGGCTCTTGTGCCGAACAGACTCATACGGCTGACTATAAGTCTATAAGGAAATTGACCACCGGACAGCTTGGCTGAGAGAGTGTGAAGTGAGTTCTTTGAAAGCTCCAGCAACTCTAGCTCCCCAGTGGCTGCCTTGTGGTTGATGACTGCAATGCTGTCGATCCTCTTGGGCAGCAAGGATCCCTGTCGGCACCAATCTGAGGTTGAAAAACATCGTGACAGGTCTTTAGGAGCACTCTGTGTCCAAACTTCCGCGCCTGACAAATATTTGTGGGATAAGGGATGGGCACGAAGTATACATCCTCAAGCCCACGGTCAAGCAGAAGTGGCTGCACCGCCTGTGACAAGAGATTCCAAGCAGTAAAACCTCGAGTCTTCTTGACTCATCATAAAAACTGGACAATGACAAATGTCTTCTCTGCATGCCCTGCATGCCTTTTCTGGAAAGTTGAGATCGGCCAACAGCACCGTCGGAAGCTCTTCGCCGTAGACGATCGAGACCAGGCAGTCCGCAAATTCCCTGCGAGCAGGTCCAAAGGGATCACCAGGCACATGCCTCAGCAGTGGCAGCAGTGGCACAAGTGTATGCTGTCGGGCACAATTCACACAGTCTCACAGTCTCAGTCTCATCTAAATCCACCCCCGCTCTCTCTCTCTCTCTCGCTTTCTCTTTCTCGCCGATCTACTTGTCAAGACACGTTGTCACGGCACGAAGTGTCACCGTCCCATCAAGCGCAAAGAGGGCCTCCGTCACTACCTGCCGCAGAAGCAGAAGGATTGGAAACAAGTTACAGTTAAACGGACCACTGGTCGTTTGAGGTGCAGCCTTCTTGGGGTTGCTTTTGTAGGCATGATGCTTCATGTTGAGCAACTTCAGCTCTTCATGGTAGATGATGACCTGCGCAAGGCTGTGGTTTCAGTTTACGAGGCGGATTGAAGATTTGTTTGGGAAAATCGCGCCTCTTGGTTCTTGTCCGTTGATTGCCCAGTGCAAGCCATATGAAACTTCGGAGTTGGGCCCTGGTCCAAGTCTTTCTGAAGATCTATGAGCAGCTCTGGCCAGCATTCCTGGAGGCACACAATTCTGAAGTCCTTCCCCATCATCTCTCTAATTCTCCTGACGATCTCCACCTCCCTTGATCCTTCCTGATGCAACCTTGTTATGAGGGAGTCCTTCAAACCTTGGGTGTCAAGATCGATATACTTGTAGTAGTGGCGATTCAAGACGTTCCAAGAAACCACCTTGATGGAGTGCTTCCTCAGACTGAGATTGGCCGCTATCGGAGGGTGGTCCGAAGGAAACTCCCACCGACCGCCCAATCGTTTGGCGACTGGGGATTCGAAGGAACCCAGCTCGCTGATGAGCACCGTCTCGACGCAACTTTCCAACAAGAGCTGCGCTTTGCAAAGCCTTTTTTCATCTGCAGAAGCATCTTCAGCGATATATTTGAGAGCTTCCTGAATACTTTCGAGCCCATCCTGGGCAGCCCTCTTCTCTTTCTCTTGGACCTTCTTCAGCCTGGTCTCCATGTCCTTTAGGCTTTGACCTCAGATGCTGCAACAGCAACAGTTGCTCTGCATAAGAAGCCTCTGCCACAGCCAATAAGTGGGATGGGACGATGACAGCAACAACAACAACAAACAACGACGGCAAATGTGCATATACAATTACTTATTGAGGAGCAGTGCTCTAGCGTACCCAATCTAGGTTGCATGGCAACTCGACTTTTCTTGCAAATCATCTAAACGCTACTGAGGCACGCAGGATCGGCAGGTCCGAACGCGCATGTTCGAGCACTTCTAGGTCGGAACACTTCAACATCTTCGTCAGCGTCTCAACATGGGCGGCCATCTGACAGAGCTCTGCAGCCCAGTGGCAGAGCAAGGGCTTCAACGATTTCAGGATGGTCACGTGCCAAGCCAGATCAAAGCCACGTTGTGCCAGGTAGGCACTTCTCTCCCAAAGCCGTTTGATGTACTTCAAGACGTTGGGTTCTTCACCGGAATACTTTACCAAGCAAATCTCGACTACGTGCAGAAAATCCTTCTCCTTGGTGATGGTTTGAATCTGCCCTTCCTTCAAGTATCCGACTCTCAAGACATTCGTAATCTCAAAAAAAGCGTTCCGGTTGCGCATCTTCGAACAAGCGCACCTTGGCGAAAAGGTCCATCTTTGCTGTCCAGCTCTCGTGCCCTTGTTCTAAGGCCTCCTCCAGTTCGATCCCATCCTTGGTACCATTCTGTATCTCTTCCTGAGACCAAGTGAGCCACTCCTTCTTGCTTTCATCTTTGTTTTGGCTCTTGGAACCAGCTTTGAGACCCTTGAAGAAGATTTGAGATCCTCCTTTGCTCAAACCTCCCACCTTGGCCTTGACCAGTCTGGCCAATTCTTTGAAAGCTTCAGCTGGCTTGGAGGCAGTCACGACCAAGTATTCCTCCAGATCCACGTCCCCTGGATAGCTCATCGCGCTGAAGCGAAAGCTGCCAGAAGGGCGGGTGTGACGTTGGAAGGCTGCATGTTTTACAATGCCATGAAGATGCTCACTCAAGTCACACCGAGATCGCTCTTGCAGCAAGCCCCACAACATGCACTGCAAACAAGTCTGGGCACATCTCGAATCCAAGCAGGGTGTGCACCTGTAAAAATCTTCAAAAGACATCTGGCTTCCCCCGACGTTTTGCAAGCTAAAAAACACGATGGGATCCTGCTCTGCCTCAAAGCCTGGCTGGAATCCCATGACGTCCTCTAACAAGAGCTTCTTCACTTCTTGAGCTACTCTCATGTTCGTGTCTTTGCTGTCTCCTTTGACAAGGATTCGCAGCAAACTCTTGCTGCTATCGCGGGCACTGCCAGGAAACAAAGATGTAAACACCGAGCAATCATTGGAATGTAGATCACCAAGGTTGCGAAAAACTTGAGGTGGCCCGGGCGTGAGAGTTTCGGATCCTTTCTCGACCGAATATATTTGACGTGACAAATCTGGAAAAAAGTTTGGTGACAACAATCCACCAAGATCAAGGTATAAAGCTGCATCTGTCTCTGTAAACCTCTCTTCTGCACAGTGCGCTACTGGTAGGCAGCTGGGAACCACAAACTCTCCCTGGACAAGTCGTGGGCAAATGAGGTTCCTTCTAAGCAATACCTCCAAGATGAACTGCCGACGATCCTGATCTTCAAACTCCTTGCAATTCCATCAGTTTGGCATGCTGCAAAACAACGCCACAAACGCTTCAAACATCATTCCAAAATGACTCGTGGTTCCTCCAAAACACTTTCCAACATGGCGCCGCATATATTGAGCTGAACCACACTCTCGGGCAATAACGTGGCATTCAGCAGAGTCTATAATCTGTTTCACCTATCGTGGCAATCACCTATTCACGTTACTTGATGTTTGTTTCTTTGTTAGAGAGTATTATATAGTTGTCACAAGAGAGCTACATACTTGATCATACTTGTATATTATATAACAGTTCAGACTCCACACCAAATTTTGTGTCTTTGAGCGTTTGGAGAGGAGCGCCTTGTTATGTTCAAGGTGTCAAAGTTTATTGCATGGCTGCCCTGAGTCAATTTGCTTTCACCTTGCTCGAAGGCTTGCAACAATTTGACCTTCTGCGATGACTGGTGCGGCTGGTGTGTTTTGTGCGACTGTGGCGAGCCCACTGTCTGCGCGCTTGTTGGTAGAAGATTTCATCTCTTAACAAATGTCACAACGTCCCCCGCCAATCTATCCACCTTCGAACTAGATCCCACTAGCGCAGTGACAGGAACACTGTTTAATTGCAAAAACACGCTGGCCAACGGCATCAGGGAATATCCATTCCAAACTAGCTCTGAGAAAGGAGCTCGACAGGATGGGGAATTTGATCACTTTTTCAGCTTTATTCAGTTTTTGTCCAACCTCGCCTGTTACAGACGATAGAATAGAAAAGATGGGACACAGGGACACAATTCATTGAACATTGACAGGTTCAACAACTTTTTGCAGCTTCTCACTTGGACATTCTCAAGCTTTCCACATGTTTTGGCAAAAATTGTTGGTTCCGGCGCGCAATTGTATTTTTTCTGGTTGCTTGCTCCTGTCCTGGCAAGCCTCAAGGGGCTCGCAACAAGCCCGCTCTGGTGGCTGCTTTTTGCAAAAATATCTTACAAAATTCCGTGTACTTGCATCAACCTGAATCTGAACTTTTTAGTCTGGAGAGTTCGAAAGGACTTGAAGTTTTTGAGGCCAAACATATCCTTCATTCAAGCCTATGTTGACTGCCTCCAGAAATTCAACTGAGAAGAAAATGCGGCTTTCAAGAAATGTTGGCACCTCATGACTAAGGGGTGCTGAATGCTACTGGATGCTTACTCTGTCAAAGTAGGCTTGCGTGTGACATTGTTTGCATCACCCACAGTCCTTCTCCCAGACTCTCTCGATCAAATCCTTGGTTGCAACTCCAGTTGAGCGAAAACGGCGAACATCTTGAGGGCCAGCGCTTGTGCAAACATCCTCCACTGACTTCTTGATGTCGTCACCATGCTCAAAGTTCTCTGCGCCAAAGCAGACTGTCATCAATCGCGCCATTGCCACCGCAAGCTTCTTCGGGTTGAGCATGACCAAATGTCGGAGAGACTGCTCTTCATCGCGCAAAGTCTGCTCTTCCTCTTCCAGCCACACCAGGATTCCCATGTCGTTCAGGAGGCTCAACAAGTCCTCAGTATCCTGACCAGATAGCCCCAAAGGAAGCATGCCACGGAGAAAGCGTTTAATAACTGATAGCTCCAGGAAATCGCAAGTCACGCAAATGTTCACCTCATCTTGTGAAGCCAGCTCCTTTGAAGGCCATGCCTCGTCTTCCAGTTCTATGAAGGCCCCTGACGGTACTGCCAGCCATGTGCCTGAAATCTTCGCTCTCAAATCTGCAGTGATTCGAACTCTTTGCTCTCCCACCGTGCGCTTCTTCAAATCTGCCGCCTTCTCAAGTTCAGCCAATTGAGCTGTGGCCCTGACAGGGTCTTAACAAGGTTGTTAGCGGCCCTTTAAAACGCGTTGGCCAACTCTTAAACTATGTCAACCTGTTACACTACTTCAATGCCATCAACGTGTGTGCAGACTGCAGTTCTCGGCAAATCGGAAAAGGTTGAAAACAGTCAGCCGATCTCTTTGCAACGCTCAAGCATCTAACATGACTGTTGCTGCTTAATCAAAGGCCTGAAGCCTTGGCCAAATTCCACTAGCAAATCATGGGCTCGTAGCCATCGCATGGGGAAGGTCTTTGCCTGCGTGCCCACAAACTCGGGCATATCCTCGTCTGGATAAGTGTTCTTCCAAATGTCAGGCTCGGTGACCATCTGAAAGGATACTCGCTCCAGTTGCGAGCGCAAAGGTTGTATCCATGTTGCAAACTCCGGACCCTTGTTTTCTACTGGTACGAGCCACTTGCAATCACTCTTGGAGTCAGGAGGATGTGATCGTAAGATTTGCTTCAGGTATGGAACCCTTTTCTGAAGCTCTTCGAGCCTCCTTTGGAGCTCCGTCTCATCCAAAGTGCTTGTAGCGGCTTTGGTTCCAAGGAGAAAAATTGGTGGCTTGGCTTTGTGTTCTTTCGAATAGTGTGCTATGGCCCAAAGCCAGAAAGAAATGTGTCGCCATTCTGTATCCATGTTCCCGGTCCTGTCAAAGAACACCAAGTAAATAGCGCCCTTCGAGAAATAGATCCGGTTCAGTAGCGCATACTCTTGTTGTCCAGGAAAATCCCAGCATTGCAGCCTGACCTCAATCCCAGTGTTTGGTCTTCCTCCATGGGTGACTCCACTGCGCAAATCCGCGTCCATCATGTGGGACTTTCTTGGGTGCAGGGTCACTGGTGGGTGGAGGTGGCGGTGGGACTTTCTTGGGTGCAGGGTCACGTAGTCTGGTGGGTGGTTGCGGAGGTGGCGGTGGGACTTTCTCGGGCGCAAGGTCCCGTGGTCTGGTAGGTTCTGGATCTTGTCGCATGGCATCTGCCTTCAACGGACCCATCAGCCCTGCCTGCGGGAAGACAAATCTGTGCACAATCAGTGGCATGGTTGTTCCGATATTGATCGTTTTTGACACAAAATCATCAAGCTTGTACTTGCTTCAAGGAAAACACTGGGTCAGACTAGGGCCAAGGGCAAACAAGCAGGCTGATGGCAGAAATGGCCGAAGCAAACTGCCACACACGCAGCATTGGGTCTCGCTACAACTGCATCAAAGCAACTCTTTTGAGAAGTAAACTCAGAGCGGGTCCGCTTACCGCGGTCAAAATGTGCAATGAAAACGTAGGAAACTCGGATGCTGAGTAGAATGCCATTTCTGATATGATATACACGGACAGTCGGAGGGGATGAGCAAACATGAGTCTACGTGTCGAACACAGATTTGCTATTGTTTGAGAAGAATGCTCAAAGTCTTGGATCCTGAATCCTGCGAAAGCTTGTAATACATCAACCTGCACTGAACCCACAATGCTTTGTCTGCTTTCTTCAACAACCTCGAAGATGCCCAACAAACTGGCCTCTGCTTTGGCATCCTGTTGAACTTTCGCGGGAAGCGTGTCCATGTCCTGCCATAGCTAGCACGTCACACTGCATCAGCTGATAAGTAATGAGTTGCCCATCGCCAGCTGTTCAACTGCTCCTTTCAACAACAAGGCCCCTTCACCCGATGGAACATCACCTGCCTTTGCATCCTGCGGAAGATTTGCGGGAGGCTTGTCCTGCAGCGAAGCGATTTAATCAGAACGCTAAAGACCTCGCATTAAGCCCGAGGCCGCCCGAGGCCATATCAAGGGAAAGGACTGGACAAAAAAGAACAGCAGTTCTCAGAAGTCAGGCTTCCGTCATCTAGCTATCTTCAAAGAAACGAAGACCATATTGCAGCCAACATGTATGGTGCAAAAGTAATCCATTTTGCATGATCCAATTAAAACAGCAAATTATATAGTTTGAAGAACTTCAGTCTCGAAATGCACGTTGACTGAGTGTCTACAAGGCATGCTGGTGATGAGCCATGTATCTTTCTGGTGGCGAGAACTGGAACATAGATACACACCAAAGAAGACTTGAGAGAGGAGGGGGTGAACGAAAGGTAGCAGGCAATCACAAGTAACCCTGGTAGAAGTCCATGACGGCGTGAACCGGCGCAGGGGGGATTTGATCCAGGGGGGGGGCCCCCCGTAAGCGGGAAGAATATACCCTATGTGCCGCGCAGTCTGCCTTGAGATAATTTAAGCTAACATAGTTATATATATATATATTAATAATTATATACTATATCAAAAATACAGTATATTTAAAAAATAAATATAAAAGATTGCGATTTAAATCTTCTAAATTTTTCGGAGCCTTGAAAAATTTAAAAAAACTAAAAAATATAAAAGATTGCGATTTATTTTTTTTAATTTTTTTTACTTTTCGGAGCCTTGAAAAATTTTAAAAATTAAAAAATATAAAAGATTTCGATATATATTTTGAAATTTTTTTGAATTTTTAAATCATCTGGAAATCTGGTGATCTCTGAGAACAGTCCGATTTAATTTTTTTAAATTTTCGGAGGCTCCGAAAAATTTAAAAAATTTAAAAAGTATAAAAGATTGCGATTTATATTTTTTAATTTTTTTAAATTTTTCGGAGCCTTGAAAAA